AATAATATCTTTAAAACTACTTATAGCCTTATAGTCTAAAGTAGTAAAAATAGCTACCTTCTTACTTAGAAATAGCCTAAAGAAAGTATATAAATATAAATTACTATTATAAAAGATAAATTTATAATTTAAAGAGAATAGATAAGGTATTAAGTATATAATTAGTAAAAAGATTAGTATAAAAGGATAGTATATATATAGATATTAAGTATACCTTTTTAATTAAGAATAAGAAAAAAGAGTTAATAAAAGGAACTTTAAAGTATACTTTAAAGAATATATTAGTTATTTAGTTAATTATATAATATTAAACCTATACTAAATATAAATACCTTAACTTAATTATATTATTATAATAAGGAATATTAAATTTAATAAAAATATATTTTATTCTTTAAAAATAAAGAATAAAGATAAGATTATTAAGTTAAAATTAAAAAAGGAGATAAAGTCCTTAATAGAAGTAGAAAGTTAAAATCTAACTATAGAATTTAAACTTAAATATTTTCTCTTAATAACTTTATAAAATACTATTCTTAACCTAAATCCTTAAAATAAGTTATAAGATTTAAATAAATCTAAATAAAGTAGTTATAAGATATAAGATACTATAATATTTAATAGATATACTATATAAACTTAAGAAGTAGACCTAAGTAATATTAGAACTTTAAAAAGTAATATACTATCTTTAATATTAAAGGTAGAAATTAAAAATAATAGTAATATAGAGATAGTAATAAGTAATAGGATAGATAATATACTCTTACTTAAGGATATATTAGAATTATTTAAGAATATAAGTTAAGAAAAAGATATTAATAATTTAGCTTTAAAGGTAAGAAAAGATAACTAAATATATATATATTTATTTAGCCTTTAAATAAGACTAGAATTATAAGATTTATATATAGAAAATACCTAGAAAATAAGAATTTAGCCTTTTATTACTTAAGATAAGAAGATAAATCTATACTTACTTAATAAAGATAAGCTAGTAACTTAGAAAAAGCCTATTAAGAAAGATTATAATCTATATTTATAGGATATAGTTATAAAAGACTTTAAATTATAACTAGAAATTTAAAAAGTAACTATAAAAAGCCTAATCTTTATTCCTAAAGAGACTATTTATAGAAGTAAAAGGATTAAAAAGAAGATTAAAAGTAGCTAGGAGCTAATATAGAAAAGAATAAAATTAGCCTTTACTATACTTTAATTATTAAAGACTATTACTAAAAAGAAAGAGTATATAGCTAATCCTTACTATACTAATCTAAAAAAATATAATAATAGAGAATTATAGATATTATTTATAGTATTAAAATATATATTTTAAAATAAATAATTAGATAATAATTAAACTTAGAATATTAGAAAAGATAAATAGTTATACTATATTAATAATTTACTACCTTTACCTTAGAGGTAGAATAAGATTAAAGGGTATACTTTTAAGACCTAATTTAAAGAAGTAGGTTTTAATAAAATATAGGCTTTTAATAAAATAAAGACCTAGACCTATATATATAGAAATATTAAAAAGGGATATACTTTACCTTTTAAATAGGTATTTATATATAAATTTAATATTAATAGAGTTTTAATTAAGTATAAAGTATAAATCTATATATAAGGGGATTTATAGCTAATTAATAGTTAAGAAGAAATATATATAGTTATATTAGTAGTATAAACCTTCTAAATAATAATAGTACTTATAGTAAAATATAACCTTAATTCTTAATAGTTTAATATTAAAAATACCTTTTTATATATTAGTAGATAAGACTTATTAAATAAAGTCTTATATAGGCTATTATTAGGATTTTAAGAAATAATAAATTTACTAGTAGATTTTAAAAAAGTAGACTATAATATCCTACTAAATTAAATACTTTATAGGTTATAAGACTTACTACTCCTCTAGTATTTAGAATTTACTAGTATATTAATAAAGCTAAGGCTTATATAATATAAAAAAGAATTATATCTTTTTTTTAATAAAGAGAGGTTAATATATATTATTTTCTTTATTAATAATATTATTATTCTAAATAAGAAAGAAGCTATAAAGAAAAGGAATAAATTTACTTATAAGCTACTCTAGAAATATAGAATATATAATTAAAAAGAGGTATTATAATTCTTAAGAGTTAAGATTATTTATAACTAAAAAAAGAAAATAATATAGCTCTCTTATAAAGTATATATAAAGAAGATTATAACTAAGTTTAAGGTAACTAGTCTTAATTAAGTCTAAACTCCTTTACTATAGTAGTAATTTACTAAAAGAATAAAATAAGTAATATTAAGAAAGGTAAAAAGATACTAAAAAATTATTAAGTTAATCTTATATATATTAATTATAATAAGAGTAAATATTATATTTATAGTATTAATACTATCTTATTATTTAATAAACCTATTTTAAATATATTTTAATATAGCTATTTATATTATTTAGTATCTTCTTAATACTAAGGATTATTATATTATATATAATAAAAATAAAAAGGTAATTATTTTATAAATAGTAAGTAATACCTTATATACTAATAATTTAGATATAAAGAGATCTAGTTAGGGATTTATTATAATCCTTTTTAAAGAAATTATAGCTTAAAAAGTATTATATTAAAGTATAATAATAACTTTTACTATAGAAGCTAAGTTATTAGCTTTTTAGAATACTATAAAAGAAATAATTATATTTAAGTATCTTTTCTAAAAAATAGATATTATTTTTAAACTACCTTATAAAATTTTTTATAATAATTAATAAATAATTTATTTAATTATAACTAGAAATTAAAGAATTAATACTAAATTATAATATATTAATATTTATTATTTATAGTTTTAATAAGAATATTAATATAGATTATTTAAAGTATTATATCTTTTAATAAAAGATATACTAATAAATAGATTTATAAAGAACCTATTACTATAGTTATTTATTTATTTTTAAGATTTAATTAGGATTATAAAGTTTAAAAGTAATAAGAGTTTAATTTAGACTAAAACCTAATAATAGTATCTTTAAATACTAATAAAAAAAGGGGGAATAAAAGATATAAGAAAGGTATAAAATAATCTTATTATTTATTAATAAGATTTTTTACTAAATAATTTATAATAGCTTTATATTATTCTAATTTAGTTAAATAAGTATTAAATATAATTTTATATTTATAGAATAAGCTAAAAGACTTATACTTACTTATAATTACTATTATCTTAAAAAAGGTTTAAGTAGAATTCTATTCCTTTTTATAAGCCTTAAGACTTACTAAAGTCTAGTATTATTTAATAAGAAGAGCTTTAATTATAAACTCTTTTATAATTTTTAATAATATAGAAGTAAAGGAATTTATTTTATTAATAATTAAAAAACTAGTAGCCTTAAGATTATTTAGAAAGTTAATTTTTATAGCTAGAAGTTAAGGTAGAATATATAAAAAGAAAGGATTTTTAAAAGACTTAATTAGAATATAATTAAGAATAAAAAAATAAAAAGGAAGTATAAACTTAATAGCTTAATATTAAGTTCCTTTTATATAATATTTAAAATAGTAACTTATTAGCTTACTATAATAAAGAGAAGTAGTATTAATTAAGGTTATAATATAATAATACCTATAATTTTAAAGGTTTCTTATAAAAAAATATATATATATTATATATAAGACTTTATAAAGACTATTAAAAGTATATATAATAGTTTAAGTTATAGTTATAAACTTTTTTTAGGTTTTTAGGGATATTTAAGTATTCTTTTTAATTAAACTAAAGGTAAGGAAATAGTTATTAATATTATTTAAGCTTAAAAAGGTAGGGAATAATATAATAATATTATTTAAGTTTATATTATTAAGATTAAAAGTTAATAAAAGATAAAATAATTAAAAAGAATAATATATATTCTTAAAATTAAATATAATAAATATACTATTTACCTTTTAAATCTTTATAAGAGTTAAAAGCTAAGACTATTTTATTAAATTTAAGTTATTAATACCTTATAAATACTTTAAAGTAAAGATAGTATATTTAAAGTTAATAATATTATTAAGATTAAAGGTTTCCTTATAAGTAAAAGAAGAATAAAAATAAAGTATATTAAAAATAATAAATAAAGAAAAAGAAACTAGCCTTTTAAAGGATTAAAAGTAGTTTAAATACTCTTATATAATTATTAAAAATACCTTACTTTATATATTATAATAAGATTATATTACTAGAAAATAGTATATTATTAAAACTATTATTATTTTACTTTTAAATAATTAAAAAAATAATATAAGTAAGTTAATAAATATAGAAAAAAAAAGAGAATAAAGTAATTATAATAAGATTAGAAAAAACTATATATATAAAAGACTTAAATATTCTTTAATTTAATAAAAATAGTTATAAAGGATTAATTTATTAAAGAATACTATTCTTAATTAAATTCTAAAATACTTCTTTAAAGTAATATAAATAAAAGAAAAAAGAATCTACTTAAAAAATATATTATAATTTAAATAAAGATTATAATATATATAATTAACTAAAGACCTATTTATAATAAAAAGCTAAAAAAGGATAATAGTATATAAATAAAGAAATTAGGTTTAAAGAAACTAATCTTAATTATTAATAAAACTAGATAATAAAAAGATATACTAAAGGAGTATAATTAGGCTAATTAGCTAGGTTAGAAAATAGGTATAAAAAGGGAGGAATTTCTCTTTTTAGTTAAGAAAGAATAAGGTAAAAATAGCTATAAGTTCTAATATATATTATTCTTTAACTCTACTATATAAAATTGCTCTTAGTTATGACTAGTTATTTAATATCTATATTAGCCTGCTTATATAATTTATAAGACATATGCGTATAAAGGTGTAAGTCGTCCCAACAGATAACAACTGTTTCTGTCATTCTTCTTGTCCAGGCCCTCGGCTCACTATTCTCTACCCAAATTTATCCCGCAGTCAAATTTAGCCAACATGCGCTGGACCAACTTGCACCTTTATTCTTGTCTTTCGCTTGGCTTGCTATGCGAAGCACATCCGTACAATCTGCTTTCACGCCAGTTCGCTCCCTATGTGACGGCGATAGCCTCTTTGCTTGGCGGCGATGGATTTATTCCCGCAACGTACGGCACTATCCAAGGACTCCTCGGTCGTGACCAAGAATTCGATTTCGTGGTCGTGGGTGGCGGCACTGGCGGCAACGCCGTCGGATATCGCTTAGCAGAAGCCGGCTTCAGCGTCGCAATTATCGAAGCCGGAACCTTTTTCGAATTCTCCAAGCCAGGGTTCTCCACCATCCCGGGCCTTGATGTCCTGTTCGTTGGTTCGGACACTTCCGAGGCTCTGTCCCCGGCCGACTGGAAGTTCCAGACGACGCCCCAGCAAGGCGCCAACAACCGCAAGTTTCATGTGGCTCAAGGGAAATGCGTTGGTGGCTCATCCGCTTGGAACTTTATGATTCACCACAGAGGCCCCAAGGGCATGTATGACCAATGGGCCGACGCCGTGGGAGACGACAGCTACAAGTAGGTCAAGACAAGTTGCCCATCAACGGCGCTATTGTGGCCTCAGCTAACAAGATAACTTTTAGGCTCAGCAGTTTCGAAGCTTATTACAAGAAATCCGTGACGTTTACCCCCGGGAGCGCCTCTCAACGCCCTGCCGGCACCTGGTCCCAATCTGCCGCATCCGACTTTGCTGCTCCAGGACAAGGCGGTCCCGTTCAAGTCGGCTTCACCAACTTCGTATCCGACTGGTCGAAATCGCTGCAGAAAGGCCTACAAGCTGTCGGGCTAAAACAAACCGATGGATATGACCGCGGTGCATTGCTGGGATACCACTACACTGAAACGACCACGCGACAGTCTGACGGAACCCGCAGCTCATCTGCTGAATACATCTACGCTGCAAACAAGAAGAAATTGAGTAATCTCAAAGTGTTCACGAACACGCAAGCGTCAAAGATCAACTTTGATAGCAACAAGAAGGCAACAAGTGTCAAGGTGCTCTCAGCAGTCGGTTCCGAGTATACCATCAAGGCGAAGAGAGAGATTGTTGTCAGCTCCGGAGCTTACAGCTCACCGCAACTTCTTATGCTTTCAGGTATCGGGCCCACAGATACCCTCAACCAGTTTGGAATCCCCATTGTTGCGCCGTTGCCTGGTGTTGGCCAGAACATGTGGGATCACATCTTCTTTGGGCCATCTCATGCTGTCAAGTTCAAGACCATCAACTCTATTTTGCGAAACCCTATCGATCTGGTAGCGGCGGTCGGCAAGTATCTGTTGAGCCATTCCGGTATCCTGAGCTCCAACGGCATTGAGATGGTCGGGTGGGAGAAGCTGCCCGAGCAGCTGCGAACTGGATTCTCCGACAATACCAAGCAGAAACTCGGTTGGTATTCCGACGACTGGCCCGAGGTTGAATATCTCGGCGGTAATGGCAACATCGGAACGTTCGGGTCCTTGCTCGCACAGCCATCCGACTCGCGCCAATACGCCACGCTTCTGGGCGCCCTCGTCGCACCGTTGTCGAGGGGCAACATCACCATTTCATCCACGTCTGTCCGTGATCAGCCTGTCATCAACCCCAACTGGTTGACCGACAAGGGCGATCAAGAGGTTGCGGTGGCTCTCATGAAGCGCATGCGACAAGTGTGGGCCACAGCAGACTTGCAATCCATCTCGGACGGCCCCGAGTATTATCCAGGCGACAAAGTCAAGACGGACGAGGAGCTTCTGGATAATATCCGCGATTCGCTGATGACTGTATGGCACCCGTCTTGCACATGCAAGATGGGCAAGAAGGACGATTCCATGGCCGTCATTGACAACTTGGCACGTGTATATGGCGTTCAGGGCCTGCGCGTTGTCGATGCGAGCGCCTTCCCCATCCTGCCCCCAGGACATCCCATGGCAACCATTTACGCGTTGGCAGAAAAGATTGCCGAGGACATCATCCGGACCGCCAAGCAGTGAGGTACAAGGTGCAAATGCCGTGCCTAGGGCGTGAGAGGAGCTGACATGGAGCAGGACATGTGTTGGAATTGACAGCATAGCATAACCGAGACATAGAAACATAGAAACATAGAAACATAGAAGAAAGGATTCATAGATTCGAGAGAGAGAGATATGTTAGAAAAACTATAGAATAGAAAATCTTTGTGGTATTTGATCAAGTATTTATGATTGTATAGGGAAAGGGAAGTGAGTTGGCAGGGCGCTGAATTCTGAACCGCATGATGAACCTGTCAACTCCAAACTCTTTTGTATACAGAGATGACGGATTTTCTCTGTATATTTGCCGCCTCATTCGTCTCAGACAAATTATCAAGTCATAGCCTGACATTTTCTAGCCACCGTTGAGCACTAGCAATTCCAGGCCCTACCCGGTAGCTGGCCCATACATCCCTACCTACCTACCTAGGTATGCAAACGATGGGCTTTTGTCATCGAGAAAGCAGCCTAAAGCAGTTTGGGACGAGACTCTCTTCTTTTGATTCTATTCTTCTTCATTTTATTCTTGTTTGTATTTTCTTTTGTGTTTTTATTCTATATAGCTCAATTTGGCTGGCCTGGTGCAAGTAGCTAACAGAGGTTCCAGAATTGCGTCTTTGGCGGGGCTGTATCTAGTCACCTATCTATCTTGCTTTGCCCCTCCCCCATCTTCATCTCTCCTTGCCACAACTCACGCCCTGAGAATCCCCGGGGAATTCAACATGGCAAAGGCATCTCCATCGCGCGGAATCCGCATAGCCATAGACCGCGGCGGCACTTTTACCGACTGCGTCGGCGAGCACAATGGCGAGGAAATCATCATCAAGCTCCTCTCCGAGGACCCCGCAAACTACAAGGATGCCCCTCTGGAAGGCATTCGTCGCATCATGAGCCACTTTACCGGCCGTGATATACCTCGTGGAGAGCCGCTGGAGACATCGCAGATTGACTCCATCCGAATGGGAACAACCGTCGCCACCAATGCCCTGCTGGAGCGCAAAGGCGAACGCATCGCCTTGATTGTCACAAAAGGGTTCAAGGACTGCCTCATCATCGGGAATCAGTCCCGCCCCAAAATCTTTGACCTGGCCATCCGGAAGCCAGACGTCTTGTATGAGCAGGTCGTCGAGGTGGATGAGCGCGTCACGCTGGAAGACTATGCCGAGGACCCAGAACGAACCACAACGGAACCCGACACGGCCGCGGGAACTGACGCTGCCCGAGAAAAGGAACTCGTTCGTGGCCTGTCGGGCGAGACAGTGCGGGTGATGCGCCGACCCAAGAATGAAGAAATCAAGACACAGTTGAAACAAATTTACGACCAAGGTATCCGAAGCATTGCTGTATGCCTGATGCACGGCTACACATTCCCCGACCACGAGGCTGCCATTGGCAAGCTTGCCGAGCAAGTCGGCTTCACTCACATCTCACTCAGTCACGAGCTGATGCCTATGATCAAGCTTGTACCCCGCGCCACATCTGTCTGTGCGGATGCATACCTCACCCCCACCATCAAAAAGTACATTGACGGATTTCAGTCTGGCTTCGCTGGCGGTCTTGGCACTCGCAGTGTCCAGGAGACCGACGGCCCTAGAGGTGCTCGCTGTGAATTTATGCAAAGTGACGGTGGGTTGGTAGATGTTGAAAAGTTTACCGGCCTCAAAGCTATCTTGTCTGGCCCGGCCGGTGGCGTCGTTGGCTATGCCATCACTTCATACGACGAGAACACTAAAACTCCCGTCATTGGGTTTGATATGGGTGGTACGAGTACTGACGTATCTCGTTATGGCGAGGGCCGATATGAGCACGTCTTTGAGACAACAACGGCAGGCGTCACTATTCAATCGCCTCAGCTGGACATCAATACCGTTGCCGCCGGTGGTGGCTCGCGGTTGTTTTTTCGCAACGGTCTCTTCGTTGTCGGCCCCGAATCAGCAGGTGCCCACCCCGGCCCTGCTTGCTACCGAAAGGGCGGCCCGGCTACTGTGACGGATGCCAATCTGTATCTCGGTCGACTTCTTCCTGAATTCTTCCCCAAGATCTTTGGCAAAAACGAAGACGAGGGCTTGGATGTCGAAGCCAGTCGCAAGGTTCTACAGAAGCTCGCTGACCAAGTGAATCGTGACACTGGCAAGAATCTGACTACTGACGAGGTGGCGTATGGATTCTTAACCGTTGCCAACGAGGCCATGACCCGTCCCATCAGATCCATCACGGAAGCCAAGGGCCACGATTCGTCCAAGCACCGACTCGCCACATTTGGTGGTGCTGGTGGCCAGCATGCTGTTGCCATTGCCGAGTCCCTGGGAATCAGTCAAATCCTCGTTCACAGATACTCCTCTGTTCTATCTGCTTACGGCATGGCTCTTGCCGACGTTGTTGATGAAAGACAAGAACCAGAGTCTTCGGTCTGGGCCGACGGCGGCCATGTCGTCACGGATTTACGGAACAAGATGGAGAAGCTCAAGGAAAAGTCTCGCACCACTCTCAAGGGACAGGGCTTCGAGGCCAGCGAGATTGTGTTTGAAGAGTACCTGAATATGCGCTACCGTGGGACGGAGTCTGCTCTCATGATTGTGAAGCCCACCGAGGCAGAGGCGAAGGAGTTCTTTGGCGGAAAAGACTGGCAGTTTGGCCAAGCTTTTGTCAAGCAACACCATTACGAATTTGGATTCACTCTTGACGAACGAGACATCATTGTGGATGATGTGCGCGTTCGTGGCATTGGCAGAAGCTTCCGCAACAACGAGAAGACTGTCGATGAGCAACTCAAGACGATCGAGCGCCAAGATGTCACGGCGTCAAAACGTCACAGTACACAACAGGTATACTTTGAGGGTGGACGTGCGGAGACGCCCATCTACAAGCTTGAGAACCTGGCCGTTGGCGATGTCATCCCCGGCCCTGCTATGCTTGCTGATGGCACTCAGACTATTGTGGTTACGCCCAGAGCAAAGGCACTAATAACTGACACCCATGTCATCCTCGACCTGCAGAAAGAAGGTGCCAAAGATGAAAACCAGACTTCGAATGAGCGCGAAGTTGACCCCATTCTGCTGAGCATCTTTGGGCATCGCTTCATGGCGATTGCGGAGCAAATGGGTCGTGCTCTTCAGAAGACAAGTGTCAGTACGAATGTCAAGGAGAGACTGGATTTTTCCTGTGCCATCTTTGACGCTGAAGGTGGCTTGGTAGCCAACGCTCCTCATCTGCCCGTGCACTTGGGGTCCATGTCAACTTGTGTCCGCCGCCAGGCCGAGATCTGGAAGGGCCGGTTAGAGACGGGCGACGTCATTGCCTCCAACGACCCATCGTATGGAGGTACACATTTGCCGGATATCACGCTCATCATGCCTGCTTTTGATTCGAGCGGGACACGCATCCTCTTCTATGCTGCATCGCGTGCCCACCACGCTGATATCGGCGGCATCACCGCTGGCAGCATGCCTCCCAACTCGCGCGAGCTCTTCCAGGAGGGCGCCGTTTTCAAGAGCGAAAAGATTGTCAGCAAGGGCAAATTTGACGAGAAGCGCATCACAGAGATACTCTACGAGGCTCCGGCGCAGTACCCCGGGTGCAGTGGTACTCGCTGTCTCGCCGACAATATTAGCGACATGCGCGCCCAGGTCTCTGCCAACAAAAAGGGCATCTCTCTCATTGAGACTCTTATTGAGGAATACGGCGAGGAGACTGTTCAGTTCTACATGGTCAACATCCAAAAGAATGCCGAGATGTGTGTGCGTAATCTTCTACAAGATGTGTATAAGCGATTCGAAGGTCGTGATCTCTCGGCGCTCGATTTCATGGATGACGGTTCGCCAATCCAGCTCAAAGTCAAGATTGACCCTGAACTGGGCGAAGCCGAGTTTGACTTTACTGGCACTGGCCCTCAAGTCTACGGAAACGTCAACGCTCCCGAGGCCATTACCTACAGTGCAATCATCTACTGCCTGCGCTGCCTAGTGTCGCAGGACATTCCTCTGAACCAGGGCTGCCTGCGTCCCATCCATGTCAAGATCCCACCCAAGTCACTCCTCTCACCCTCGCCCGGCGCTGCCGTCGTCGGCGGCAACGTGCTTACTAGCCAGCGCATCACCGACGTCGTCCTCAAAGCGTTCGAGGCCTGTGCCGCCTCGCAGGGCTGCTGCAACAACCTGACCTTTGGCTTCGGTGGCAACGTGACCGGCCAAAGCGCCGTGCGCGGCTTTGGCTACTACGAGACCATTGCGGGCGGCAGCGGCGCCGGTCCGGACTGGGTTGGCACCAGCGGCGTGCACGTGCACATGACCAACACACGCATCACAGATTCCGAGATTTTCGAGCGCCGGTATCCCGTGCTTCTGCGCGAGTTTTCTATCCGCGCCGGGTCCGGCGGCCAGGGGCAGCACAAGGGCGGCGACGGCGTGGTCCGCGACATTGAGTTTCGGATCCCGCTGCAAGTGTCCATTCTCAGCGAGCGCCGCGTATACCGGCCGTACGGTCTCAAGGGCGGCGAGGACGGCCAGTGCGGGCTGAACCTGTGGGTGCGCCGCGTGGAAAGGGCCGACTGGCAACGCTCGCTGCAGTCGGTGCAGAGCGCGGCCACGGAGGGCAAGGACAAGGAAGCACGGGGCGCTGAGTACGAAGAGCGCTACATCAACATTGGCGCCAAGAATTCGGCGGCCATGGCGGCCGGTGATCGCATCATTATTAATACGCCGGGCGGTGGCGGCTGGGGTGCAGTTGGAGAGGAGAGCGTTGCCAAGTCGCGAGGCGACCACACAGATTCGTGGAAGAAGGGCAGCGGCGCGGCGCGTGATGACGCAGCGCTGCAGGTATAAGTGAACACGACGTGCCTTTTCTTCCAGGCCGTCGAAGATTTATAATGCATACCTGGTAACCAAATGTTCAGTATGCGACTCTGTTGGCATGAATACAAATGCGAGTACAAGCCTGGGTCGGACGCCCGAGGCTTTGTATGCTAAACACTAGAGCGAGAGTGAGCCTAGGTGATATCTCTACATCGGAAGCTATCGATGGCTCCTGCCACGCATCGACTATCACTTTTAGGAAGATAAGCTCGCCTAGTTAGGTAGTTACCCGACACATTCCCACAAATACTTTCCGTCTCAGGTACGGATAGTAGACGCTAAAATCACATGGGACGCGGCAAAGTCCGCAACCCTACCCTCTTGCTGCAGACAGACTTGCCCCTGGAACCCGCTATTAGTTGCCGCAAACCTGGCTCTTTTCCTCTCCTTCGCGACCCCCTTCACCTTACGGGAGAGAGGCTTGGTGGCTTTGGCGATTCAATGGGGACGCTAGTATCGCTCCGCTCGATGAGCAGCCACCGGCTCAACTTTCTCACGATTCACTACTGCTACTTTGTCGTTGTCTGCCTGCTCAGCTCCGTCGTGTTTTGGGCCTCGTCGAGCCCGCGGGGCCGGATATCCTACGTCGACAGCCTCTTTGTCGTCGTCTCGGCCATGACCGAGGCCGGCCTCAACACGGTCAATCTCAGCACCATGACGACCTGGCAGCAGACGATTCTCTTTCTGCTCATCATGCTGGGCGGCACCATCTGGGTGTCCATCTGGACCGTATTCGCGCGCAGGGCTGTCTTTTATCGCCGCTTCGTGCACACGGCGTGGCCCACGTGGGCATGTTCCCCTGCTCGGCAGACTATCCGTACAGCGCATGCGCAAGGTGTCAAGGACCCGAGTAGTGGATCAGGTCCCGGAAGCGCATCGTCACATTCTGCGTCTCCCCGGGTTTGCTCTGCCGCTGCTGAGAAAGACCTGGACATGGCACTTGCTCGGACGCGCGGGCGCCCCTACTACACCTTGCCTCAGAAGCCATCCAGCCCGAGGAACGAAGAGGATGGGCTCGCCGATGGAAAGAGCCAGCGTATCTGCGGCTGCGAGTACCGTGCTCTCGAGCTCCTCTCCATTATCGTGCCTGTATACTTTGTCCTCTGGCAACTGCTGGGTTGCATCGGCTTAGGAGCATGGGTGCACAATCACATGCCCGACACTGCGCTTGCCAATGGCATCAACCCATGGTGGCTAGGCGTCTTCAACGGGGTTTCGGCCTTTAACAATTCCGGCATGTCCCTCCTCGATGCCAACATGGTGCCCTTTCAGGAGGCCCACTTTGTCCTCATCACCATGGGGCTGATGATTCTCGCCGGAAATACGGCCTATCCCATCTTCCTGCGTCTCATCCTCTGGTCTGCCCACAAGCTGTTGGATCTGACGACGGAAGCTGACTCGTTTCAGAGCACTAAGCTCGCCGTTCAGCTTTTGCTCAAGGACCCCCGACGCATCTACACCAACTTGTTTCCGTCGCGCCTCACCTGGTGGCTTTTCTTTATGCTCGTGTGCCTCAACTCGATTGACTGGGTGCTCTTTGAGCTGCTCAACTTGAACAATCCGGTCGTCGACAGCATTCCCGTCGGCCCTCGCGTTCTTGTCGGACTCTTTCAGGCTTTGGCTGTTCGATCCGGTGGGTTCTATGTCGTGCCGATTGCACAAATCGCCATTGGAGTACAGTTTCTATACGTCATCATGATGTACATTTCGGTATACCCAGTTGTGATGACCATACGCCAGTCGAGTGTATATACATACTCGCAGCGAGACGGGCCTGGTATTGAGCTACGCGATGCGGCACACTCCCACCTGCCCAAACTCAGCAGAGCCGTTTCGTATCCCATTGAGAAACGCAGTCTGACCACCAGGCACCGAGTTCATCTTACATTCGCTACACCAGCCGAAAGAGCTACCTGGCGTGGAAAGCCGGGCCACCCAGTCACAACCACAACTGGGGTATCGCCTCCACTTCTGTACTCTGAACAGCTGAGTAATTGGCCTCGAGAAAAGCGACCAAGCCATCATGCACGATTACTATCGCTACATGGAACTCCTCCACCTCCCACATATGACAGCCACATGAGCTTCATTCACCAGCAAATTCACGGGCAACTAGCTCAGGATATATGGTGGCTCGTTCTAGCTGTGCTTGTGATTGTCATAATTGAAAGTAGTCAATTCAACGCGGATCCCATCAATCATTCGGTTTTCAACATCATCTTTGAAGTAGCCTCGGCATATGGAACGGTCGGTATTTCCGTGGGAACGCCGAGTGGCGCCTATAGCTTTTCTGGGACGTGGTACACAGGTAGCAAACTCATTCTTTGTCTGGTTATGCTGCGAGGCAGACACAGGGGGCTACCTACAGCGTTGGACCACGCCATCAGACTGCCGGAGCAACATTTGAATTGCAAAGAGTATGACATGGAGGACAAGTAGAGGGACACTACCCGAAGCAGGGTGTTATTATGGCAGGGGGAAACGCGTGAAAGGCCGCAGGCTATATTCAGGCGAAGTAGGACATTCGAGACTGTATATCAATTGCATCAACTTGCGTCATGGAACTACAATAACCTTGTTCACCGAAATGCCAGCAATATGCGGTGTTGTGCAGCCTTTCCGAAGCAGAGAGTCGATGAAGCTTGCTACATTGTCGGTGTAAATCTAAATTTTCTTACGCCTAATATTCCGCAGCCTCCGCAGCAGAACCATCGAGATGACACCACCGCCGAACACGGAGCCCGTAACAACGACAACAAACGCCGACAGGCTCTCCTCGACAAAGTTGACCGTATTCATGCCGTACCACCCGGCGACCAACGTCGCCGCCGCCATGCCCAGCATGGCGATTTCCACCTTTGTCTCGAGCAGCATGATTTGGTTGCGGCGACTAGCAAGGACCGACCGGACCGTGTCCGCCGTACGGTGGACGTCGGCCATGAGCGCGGCGGCCTCGCTGACCACGGCGTCGTGCGCGCGAAAGTAGGCCTCGAGGAGGTACTCGGCCTCGTCGTGGTCATCCGCGGCGCGGCGCGCCCCGCGCACCGCATCCGACAGGTACAGGTCCGCCATGTCGCGGTCCTCGCGCAGCAGCGTCTCGAGCGCGCCGCGCGCCAGCCGCGCGCGCTGCTCGATATCCGCCAGCCGGCGCGCGACGTCGAGCAGCGTGCGCAGGCCCGTGTGCGCCGATGCCGTCGTCTCCTCATCGCCGGCCATTTGCGCGTCGAGATGCTGCAGCGCGGCGCGCACGTCGGCGCGCGCGGCGAGGTACGCGGCCTCGAGACCGGCGGCGACGGCGGCGAGCGCGGCCTCGAGCGCGCGCAGCTCAAACGACGCGCTCGTCTTGTGGTGGGCGCCGCCGCCGCCGCCGCCGCCGCTCCGCAGCTTGTTCTGCAGGTCGTACGTAAAGACGCGCGAAATGGTCGTGTCGGCCAGCCCGTCGACGTGCAGCAGCAGCAGCCGCTCCGCCTGGATCAGCAGCCGCAGGTCAAACATGTGCACGAGGATCGTCGAGGCCCGCACCAGGATGTGCGGGAACCCCTGCGACGGCAGGTCAATGGCCTGCAGGTCGCGCGCGGCGAGGCCGTACGCGCGCGCCATGTCGGCCTTGCTGAGCGTCGTCGTCGTGGCGCCGCCGTCGGCGTCGCACTGCGTGCACTGCAGCTCCACGTGCCCGTTGAGCGGCGCCAGGGAGATGCGCACGGCCCGCTCGAGGATGCTGCTTCCTCCGGGGTGCTGCGCGTCGCTGTCGGATCCCGGCGCGCCGGTGTTGTAGCTGCGGCTGGGCTGGACCGGACTGCGTCGTCGGGGCTGCCATAGCCGGCGGGGTGACCGGCACAGATGCCGCGCATATACAGACGCGCCGGGGAACAACAGGCGTGCAGGGGCGGACATGCCTCGGACAATGTTCACCACTGGCCGATGGCAGACTTGTTCGGGAATGCTGGAGGTGGGCGCGATCGAGGCCGTTTGAACCGTGCTAGACCGGGGGGTCGCATGTGTTGGCGTGTCAAGGTCGTGCAAGTATCTACATCCGTCCGCCACGCAGATGCCAAGGAAAGACCGCTGATGATTGGGGCTGCCTTCGTGGTGTCTCTCAACTTGTTTGGGTCAATTGGATAGTTGGCGGAAACGTGCCGATCTCCTGCATTGGCTGGGCCGTAGAGCTTACTAATGACGTCATCACGGCTATTGAAAGACTCGTGGTGAGCAACACGGATTGGAATTTTGTGAAATTTTTAAAGGTCAAGAAAATTCACAACAACTGTCGCAACGGATATTTAGAAACTGTATACAAAGTGAATACTTCGCCTTTGTACCAGGGGTTTATAGCGATGTTTGTATCGAACTACACCAACAACTGATACGGACACTACTGAATCGGTGCTGCCTTTGCTGCAAACAATGCAAGGTAAAGGCGTGTTTCGGCGCAGATAATCATCTTTCCGTCTCCAACAAACTGAAAGTTTGCCGCAGGGCCGTCGGTAAAGATCTTGCCCAGAAGCTTGCCCGACGGGTTCCAAACATGGATCCCGTCGCCACATCCAGCATATACGTTGCCCTTGCTGTCGCAGTGAATGCCTGGTACCGGTCAGTTGTATTCCATCAACAGCGGCTCAGTTTCATAGTATGATAGACGTACCGTCGGGGACTCCGCTGTCGGCAAAGGCAAAGGTGATTCTGTTCTCAAATGAGCCGTCGCGCGCGACATGGAAGCGGTAGCTGTCCGGTGATGAAGACGGTTAGCAGACTTGTGCAGATGTTGAAGAAGAGGTGTCGAGTGACCAGGGTAGGCTACGTACATGGTTGCAGGACGAGCCGCGTCGTAGCCAAAGAAGCCGTGGTGCGCTCCCGTGTCGGTTATGTAGACAAGTTTGCCATCGGGGGAGAAAGTGATACCTATGTCAAAGTTAGCTACAACTGTAAATGAAGAGTCGATGTTGAGAGGTTCGCTTGCCATTCGCCTGGTCGAATCCGCTGGCGGCTACCGTAATGGCCTTGGTTTCCGGGTTGAACTGGTACACCTGAACAGGCAGAACTGGTGGCGGGCGGAAGGCCTGAAAGTATCCATATAGGGGGTCCGTAAAGTAAATGTGCGAGTTCCGGGGATTGACTCCGATGTCGTTTAAAGAATTAAATTGCCGCCCGTAGAAGTTGTTTATGAGAATTGTGGCATTGTACGGCGGTAGAGGATTGACTGAGTAGAGGGCAGATGCCGTCTCGTTGCCCATTCCCTCGCCCGCAAAGAGGATATTCCCTTTGTAGTTGGTACCACCTGCATCGATGCCTTAGTATTTTAAAACTCTTCCTAGTTGAGCTCAAGATGGCGACGTACCGTTGGGGTTCACTACAGGAGGGTCAGAGGTGACTGTCTGGACCGTGACATGGCCAGTCTTGTTGCCGGAAGCGACCTGCAGCGCTTCCTTGACCGACACCTTTTGAACAATGGCCGACTTGTTGAGGCCAGTCCCTGCCGCCGGGCTTCCGGCATTCTGCGCAAAAAAGACCTCATCTGTGGCGGGAACCCTAATGGAGAGTTAGTCAAGGGTTCTGGATGGCGAACAAGGACATACTCTTACCAGACGACAGCTTCATGAAATATCGGGTCCGTTTCCGTTTCCGCGATAATGGCCAGCTTCGGATCGTGACCAATGATTTCGAGGAATTCAGAGTCAAATACGAGGAATGGGCGGTCTTTGAGCTCCTGTCGGGTGGTGCCAGGCGGCACCCAAACCTATCACGACAACGATGAGTAACAGGCGGCCAATTACCCAACAACATCAAGCAGTGCTTACAGTCGTGCCGTTGTATTCACTTGGGGGGGCAATGGAGGGGATCGAGGCGAATTTCGCACTGTCAATGACTTGAGCTTGGGCGGGCAAGCTCTTTGCGCCATCGCTGGTCGCCGTCGTCACCGATGTCCCGGCCGTGGCAGCCGAGAAGAGGGCTGCCAGCGACACAAAGGGCAGAAACGTGGCGTTTGTCAACTGTGCAGAAACCATCTCTTCCAATTTCTCGACGTCGAGGCAAAAAAAAAAAGAAAAAAGCTTGTTGATGTTCTAACTAACTAGTTGGACGGGCGACTTTCATCTATCTCTGTTGTGGTGGCCCCGCAATCGGCAATTGAGATGGTGGCTGGGATCAACAAGCGGAGGGAAAATAGGGTTGGATTAGCCTAATTGGAGCTCTAATTGGCAGCCCTGTATAAATATAATTTCATGATGATTATGATGCTTTATGCAATCAAAGTCGCTTTTTGGCTGTTGCAATGGTCAAGATGAATCTCGAGATGGATAACATTGAGTTCAGCCAATACGACGAACAACTCTTTGCGCAAAAAGCGGAACCAGTAGGTTTATACAAAGATACATGTATCTAGAAAAGAAATACGATTAAAATGCTTGCGGCTTATCTCGTCTTGTCCTTCTTTGGTCTTTTGAACAAATGCATCAAAGGAGAGAGACTCTGGGCACCGATGTCCTTTACCATTGCGCTGTTTAAATCATCAAAATCTCGAATGAGTGCGGGTCAATCAGAAATCGCCATCTTGTCGATTTCCACTTGATGGAGACACTATTACTAGCATCTGGCAACTTGTTGCACGGATTTGCCCACTGCTCCATAGTCACAGTGGGTGCAACGGACGAGGTCCCAGCGTCAATACAAAGTGACCAAGCTGGCAAGCTCTCGGATAACTAGAAATTATCATACTGTTCCTCTAGACATTTGAATCCTGGGGAGAAGGGATGCATCTATGAAGCTCCCTGGGCTGCGTGACTGCTCTACATGACAACTACAAGAGGTTAAAACTATGAAACAGGGGGATCGTAAGAATCGAGACGATTGATCCTAAAAATAATCAAGTATCGATTTCATAAAAATCATTCAATTAAAGCCGAGTCTATGTGATCAGCGAGCTATAATAGGCTCAGATGGCGTATCGGTCGTAAGTGGTATGTCAAGATGGTGTCAGGCTGAGGTCAGGCAAAGTGTCGTGCAGCCCGGAGCCTCGTTCCGTTCCTACACGGGAACCGGATACGAATAGAATAACGACGCAGATGGCAGAACCAAAAACAGGCCACGGCCGAGATGCGGCAGCCGGACTCTAACGATTGGAGTGCGCCCCCAAGGCACACACGACCAGGAGCAGCGGCGCTCGGGAAGAAGTCGTTTTGAGAAACATGGCAAAGGGGCAAACGCCATCCCGCGTTCCCCGTAACCAGTTGGAAAAGCTGCCGCTGGGCCGCTCCTCGCACAGCCTGCTGTTTCTCTGATCCTTTCCTTTGATGCGTACCTGGCGCTTCGAGAAGCCGTTGATGAAGGAGCTGTCGTCGCCTGTTGTTTGTCAATGCTGGGAAGAACTTACCGCCGGCATGTACCGAGGCCAAGGGGAGGAGTCATCAAGGGGCAAATCGGTGAGAGACGTGCCTGTGAGTGGCCAGGAAAGCAGTTGCCCACCACGAGCGAGTCGCGTGCAGTGGACGTTGCGCGCACGCGAGAACGACTTGGTTGATATTGAGACAACTGGAGGATAGAGGGAGAGGACAGGGATACAGGGGGTCAAATGCCGACGCCATCTACAACGAGAAGGCGAGGATCGGGCCGTCTCCCTGTGGAGGGGTTATAACGGGCACCTGCGTCAACGGCTGGCCCACGGGCCCCCTCCCCTTGACACTTTTTCAATGCATGGCTGCCAGTATAGTTAGTAGAATGGAGAAGCTCAGGGAAGATTCTCAAGGGACAGGGCTGGGCATCTGAGCGGGAAACGGATGAGTAGGAGGGACCTGCGGTCAAGATGAGCGACTTCTCCTTCCTCTCCGCCACCCATGTCGTCGACCGTTTTCTCTGGAGGCGCTCACATGGGACAACTGCACTTGGAGATGTCGTCGAGGGACAAGGGGGCCACGCAAGCGACGGATGGGTTTTGGGCGGCCCAAGCCAAGCAGAGCCCCCGGCCATCCCCCCGGCCGGGCGTTGGCTAGTGCATGATATGAATTGTTTCGCAAGCCCAATCTCGGGACCACCATGTGCATCATCATGGAGAGCATGACGGACGGACGCGCACCGACCAAAACTTGGCACGCCATGTCTGTCTGTCTTGTCTGCAAGTCGTGTAGCCGCATGTACGGAACAGTACAGTTAAGCAAGTTAGTTAATGCAATATTTTTTTTCTTACGATTTTCCTACTACCGCCCTGCTAGCGTAGAACGCATAGTCTGTACCCCCACGAATTTTCTACATTTTTCTTTTTGCGGTTTTTTCCCTCCTCTTTTCGTCCCGCCGGCACCCGCAGCAAGCTTGCATCCTTGGAGCCGGCCGGTACAATTGCCCGATTTGGACATGATATTCAACCACTGGATTCTATGGGGAGGAGGGGTCTTTGGCGACTGAGTAATTAACGTCACAATGTCAGATGCAAAAGGGCAAAGCAGAGCATAGCCATCGCAAACCGGGTCCAACACCTTCCCCCCGGCCGGAGGAGATTGCTACTGTGGACTCGTTTGCTTCTTTGGCCTCTGTCTGTGTGTGCGTAGTAATGACCTTCCTCTTACGAATATTGTAGAAACGAGCATTCCCCTCTTCACATGCACATGCGGGAGAGCTAACCTGAAAAAAAGGCCCCCCCTCCCCCCCTCCTCTCTCCCTGCGACTGTACAGGGGATGGTGGCTTGCAAGGGACAACCGTTTTTGTCATTATTTCTGAGATAAACACAACCGGAGCATGGCAATAGAGGGACATGGAGGGGGTTATCGGAGTATCGGAGTTGAAGAGACAAGACGGGCACTAGGAACTCGCGATGTTCTCTCCTCGGCTTAGCTCCCCCTTTTCTGTTCTTTTCCTGGTCTCAGTCTCTCTCCCTCTTTGCCAAAAGCATCCACGCCACCGCAATCCTTTATAGATTTCAGTCGATGGGACTAATTATTTACCCCTGTTCAAGACATGGATCCGGCGTCCGCTGGTGGTGTGCTGGTGAAGCGCCACGCTTGGATTTCATCAGGACCCCCGGCTGCTACAGTAATAACTATCAGTTAGTGAGGGCCAAAACAGAAACGGGAGCGAGCATTGTGCGCGTGTCTCCTTGCTTTGACTTTTCTTCACGCACACGCACGAGTTACAAAAGGTCCCCTAATAACTACTATCTGTATAGTTCAAACTGCCCGCCCCGCCGTCACTCGGGCCCTGGTTTTGCCCGTCTACTCCCGAGTGAAGCTGCCAGTCCGTATCATGCTGAGAAGTGCCGTCACAAGGCGGTCAGTAGTCCGGAGTCATGCTCATACTTCTGGTACCCAAGCCTCCGAGGCTGCGAGGGGACGCCTTTTTGAGCCACCTCGAGGTTCGAGGTTGCACTGTGGAAATGGGCCGCAAGCTAACCTTGTTCTCAATCAAACTCTCCTCGTTGATTAATGTTTCCCCTCGTTTTCTCTGTACCTCTCAGCCATCATGCTCCCCCCCCCCCTCCCATCCACACCGGGCTCGCCTACTAAGAAGAGGGGCGGGCGCACCGGGGCCGATGGAACGCCCCGGTCTGAAGGCCAAGTTGAAAAGTTGAACCTGGAACGGCGGACCGGGAGTAAGGAGTCTTTTATAGAAAATTAATATATTTTTCTTATTAATATTTTCTTGACAGGCCACGGAGTAACGATTCTGTACCTGGGCCGCCGGTTGCATGGCCGGATGCCCCCTTCCCTCCTTGTTTCCTCGGCCAAGCATTTCTTGCTCCCGGCTCTGTCCAGAGTAGATTTCTTCTCCTTCCTTAACACACCTCGCGACCCCGGTTTCCTCCGCATCTGACGACCATTAGGACATATTTGCTCATGATCACCTCAATATTGCAGTGTTCCCTTAACGAAATGATGCAATAGAGCAGAGTCGCCTATCAGATATATTGACGCCGGCATCCTTGACCTGATAACGAAGGCACGACTTATAGCCCCGGCAGACAGTTGCGGCACAAACGTGACACGAGGTCAGATCGACACATCAGACCACACAGCCATCTTTTGGATTCAGCTTTGCATACTCGGAAGAACCCAGCAACACAACAACAGTCTACCACAAAGCGGCACTGTTCCCCGGACGCAAGTATCCTGGCTTGTGCGTCCGGACCAGAAAGCATCGTTGTGCGATTCTGGCTTGCGCAACCCGCTCTCGCACATACAATACCACCCACCCTTCTCCTGGTGACGTGACGCTCTCGACGTCGTCGACGCTGCCGCTGCGAAATACATAGGCTCTCATTGGACTACCAGCTTCTCAGAGCTTGTCACAAATCACCATTCCGTCTACAAAACTGCAGATGCTCCTGCTTGCTGTGTATTGGCGTCAGTGTTGAAAGCATGCCGGGCAGCCTCGACGCCAAATCCTGCGAGATACCAAGTGCAGTCAATGTGCCATGATTCGCATCGCAGTTGCCGGAGGATACGGTCTCGGGTTTCTCATCGCAACGGGCCTGTCGCAAGCCGAGCATGCCTACAACATCATTGTGCTGTCCGGGACGGTATGTTACAAGAAACCCGGTCTTGTAGCACGAAGAAGAATTTAAAAAAAACCTCGACACTAACATTTTCATGACCCCATACCAAGGATAGGAGCGAATTCGTCCCGTATGGTATTCAGGTTCACGTGGTCGACTACTACGACAAGGAGAAGCTTGACTTTGCGCTCCGCGGCATCGACCTCGTCATCTCGACCATATCCGGGCAGGAGCAGCTGAACCTCATCAACGCGGCGGGCCACGGACGGGTGCGCTACTTTGTGCCGTCCGAGTTTGAGGGCAGCCTGACGCGGCGGCCGCCGGCGCGGTCGGACCCGCTGGACCGGGGCAGCGCGGCGGCGCTGACCCTGCTCCGGCAGTGGTCCGACGGCCCGGCACGGATGAAGTGGACGGCCTTTTCCTGCGGCATCTTCATGGAGCGCTTCCACCCCTTTGGCCTCTTGGGCAGCTTCAGCATCGGCACCGGCGAGGGCGTCGGCACCGTCGGCAGCTACGTCGCCGACATCAACGCCTGCATCGCAGACTACACGGCAAAGGACGCCAGGGGCGGCTCCGTCAAGATCTGCCTGACGAGCGTCGTCGACCTCGTCAACTTCATCGTTGCCGCCATCGAGATCGGCCCCTCGACCTGGCCGGCTGAATATACAATGCGGGGCGACAAGAAGAGCCTGGCAGACGTCGTCGCCGCCATGTCGGCTGCTCGAAATAGTGAGTCTCGCTCTGTGTGTCCCCGGCAACAGATCAATACGGGAAACTCTCGTGTGACCTCTCACTGACTGTGGCCCAGTTCCTTTCGAGTCCAACATCCTCAGCTACGAAGACTTGCTGAGGCACATCGCCTACAACACGGAAATGGGCCAGTACGACCGCGTCGCCTATCTGCAACGGAACCTTCAGACCGTCAACGGCCGCTATGAATTCTCGCGCGCGACGCTCAACGATGCCATCAATAGCAGTAGACGCGTCAACGTCCAGCCGATGAATTTCGAGCAGTGGCTGGAGACGGTGTCTCCTTGTTTCAATATGTCCGCTCTCTCAAACCAAGGGATATTTCAATGACACGTTTTTCTATTCTACAAAACGAATACTGAGGGAGCGTATGGAATGGGCGGGGTTGGGCGTTGCAGTACTGCGGAAAAGGGAAAATCACATTGGGAGAATAAAAATGGCCAAATTGCCGGAAAAGGACTATCAATAGAGACCCGCACAGTTTATGGAATCTGGACCGTCTGAAGCTATATGGGTACTATAAATTAAATAATAAACGGCTATTGCGTTGAAACTTTTCATCGACATGTCTATTATGGAACCGTTGAGCTCCTCTTGTGAACACCGCCCAATGCACCAACCACTACGCCGAAAAACCAACCAGAGGGAGAACTGAGACGATATTTCTTCATGACTACACCTGCTCCACTACAGGAGCAGGATCAGCCGGTTCTTTGCCGGCAACGTTGCTGGACTCGGGTTCTGGCGTGTCGTCGTACTCGTCGCCATACTCGGACACGACCCAGAGGCAAAACTGCTCCCACTGAATCTGCCACTCCTGGATGCGCTCACCCTTGACGCCCTCGGCGAGGCTGGCTGCCTTGATATGGCCGAGCCAGGCGTCATTGTCCTCGTCCTCAAAGGCGGACCAGCGGACGCTGTTCTCGGCGAGGCTGCCGAGGCCGGCGAGGCCTAGGTTCTGCCAGCCCTGGAGGGCCTGCCAAAAGTCGTGGGACATGCCGGCGGTGCCGTGGCCCATCATGGCCGGGTCGTCGTTACAGAGACAGCAGGGGACGCCGCGGGCGAGCAGCGCGGGTAGCGGGTGCGCCGAGACGGAGCCGCAAAGGCGGAGGACCTCGTTGGAGATGGGGCAGGCCTCGACGAGGATGCGGCGCTCCTTGACCATGTCGACGAGCAGGGGGTGCTTGTAGAGGGAGTAGCCGTGCCCGATACGGCGGGTGCCGAGCAGGACGGCGTCAAAGAGGTTCTCGTCGGCGGCGTCGCCGTCGCCGAGCGTCTCGCCGGCGTGGAAGAAGAAGGGCACCGAGACGCCCTCCTGTGCGCACTGCTTGCGGAACCAAAACAGCTCGGGCAGCAGGTCGCGCAGGGTGCGGCCGGGGTTCTCGTACCCGACCACGTCGTAGCCGACGACGAGGTTGGGGAACTCCATCTTGGTCGTGATGCAGTGGTCCATGTCCTCGACGACGGGCCGGGTGCCGAGCGAGCGCAGCGACGTCCAGATGATGCCGAGGCCCCAGAAGCCGCGGCCCTCGTCGGAGGCGCGGAAGCGTGCCACCTCCTCCTCGATGACCTGGAACAGGTGCAGGTAGTCGGGCTCGGGCTTCTCGCGGCGGTCGCGGCAGTACCCGAGTGGCCAGGCGAAGCGCAGCTCGGCCCAGCACACGCCGTCGGCGTGCAGCTGGCGCACGAGGGCGCGCAGGTAGACACGCATCATGGGTTCGTACGTCAGGAGCGTAGCCGAGGCGACGAAGCAGTCTTGGAACTTGGCCCAGATGGCGTCGACGCCGTGGTGCTGGTGGTGCGCGTCCTGCGGGTGCAGCGTGCAGCGGCCGGCGAGCCACCTGACGAAGCCGTCACGGCCGCCGTCGGGGAACTCGTCGGCCATTTTGGTCAGGAGCACAAACTTGTTCTTCTTGTAGTCAGCAGTCCAGACGGAGCCGTCGACGCGCTCCCGGGCGCGGTAGCGAAACGTCATCATGCCCTTTTCTAGGGCCTCGGGGCTCGCGAGCGGGCGGTCGCTGGCCATGTGGACGCCGGGCAGCGCGAGCAGTTCGCGGACGAGGTACTCAAAGTCGACCATGGCCTCGAGGTGGGCGTGCAGCAGGGCGCCCTTGGGCATGCGGCGGACGATGCGCCACAGCTTGGTGCTCTCCATGCGGTCCTTGGCCATGGAGAACATCATGCCGGGGAAGACGGTGGCATGCATCTCGCTGGCCAGCTTCTCTTCCACGTCGGCCGTCCACGTCGTCCGCAGCTCCTCGGCGCGGATGCGCTCGACGACGCGGCACGCACGCTTCGCAATGGGCGACAGGGACTGGCGGAAGGCGGCGTCGGCGCGCTGCGTCTTTTCCTGCACGATGAGGTTGGCGCGGCCGGCCATGTACTTTTGCAGGAAGGGTTCGTCAGTGGAGGGGATTTCCTGGGAAACCTCCTCCCACACGTCGTCGGGCATGGCCATGTCTGGGAACGGGTTGCGGCTGGTGGGCGCTGTTGTGGCTTGTGACTGCAGATATGGGACAGACAAGCACGGGTCTCGGCCGATTCCGAATAGACCGCGCGAACAGACCCGATCCTCTTTTTTCTCTTGACAAGTTGAAGAGAGAAGTCGACCGAGGCTCGTGGCTGCAGGGTTGGCTGCAGGTCTCGGGTCGCTGGGGGTGGCAGCTCGAGGGCCACGGAGCAAACGGGCCACACCGCACTCGGTGATGTCGGGGTCTAGACCAGAGGGGCTCGAGGAAGCGCAATGGAAGCTCGGTCGCTTATCTACGAGCAGAATTGATGGTTCGGCAGTTGGGCTGCGTAAACAGTCGACGGGATGCTGCACGAGGTATGTCTGGTGGTTGATGGACGAAGAAGCAGGGCAGCCAGTCAAAGTTGGCGGCTGGCATGGCGGGGTGACGAGGGAAGGGATGGTGGGGTCAGACGACGTCACAGCGGCGCAGTGAGGAGGGATAAGATTCGGCGTATAATTATTGTTAGGCTATAGAGGAGTTTAGGAACAAGTATAATTGGTGTATATTGCTTGCCGTCATGTCAAATATTGTGTGTATATCTTGACTGCTTGATAGGCCGCCTATCTGTAGGTACCTACAGCGGGTGTACCTAGGTAGGTACTTGGCTATCACATTACAGTGGTCGTACAGCGCGCTTCAGTGGTCGTCACAGTGCTACAGGCGTCCAAGATCCTTGTGCGGAGGCCTGCGAACTCTCTGTCCGGAGGGGTGTTAGAAACTTTATTCCTTCTCGTGTATATAATTCACATGATACGATCATTACACACAAACTTCAAAAGCATGTCAAAAGTCCAAAGCGACGTTCCTGTTGGCTTGTCAGCCCTCGCCACGCCAGCGGTTTAGCGTCCGCTAGCCCCTGGCCGGCTGGCCTGTAACATGCCGATTCACCTCGACGCCACATCACATCGCCAATCCCCTCAACACCCTTTCCCGATGGGCACGCCATGATATATATGCAGCTTCTCACGGGTTCAGAATCCCTCGACGCCATCTCTTCCTTTGGCGGCCATTCAAAGTTGCCTGATTCCGCACGCCTCGGCCGCCTTTTTGCGCCCAGCACCGGCCGCTCATCCTGCTCCTCCACCCGATATGCATGTCTTGGCCACTGCAGGAAAGAAAGACAGAAAACGACTTCCCGTCTATCGCGCAAGGATAGGCTGGGAATTGTTTCCGCTGTAACTTCCCAGACGCCACACAGGTCAACTAGCCCGTCACCTGCCAGGTCCCACGTCACTCACAATCGACCTCGCAAGGCACCATCCCCCAGAACCAGTCTAGCATGATCGCATTTGCTTCCACGCGAGGGCGGGGGGGGACCTATAATGTTGCCTTTTATTCTTCTCGGTGAGTGGCTGATGGCATGTGGAAACGATCTTCGCCTTCCTCGTTGTTGCGGCCGTATTTACGACCTGGTACATCATAGTCCACATTTTGCTGCAGGACTACAGTCACACTGCAGCCGTCTCTGCTCTAAACGGAGCATTCTCTACACCGTATGCTACCATGGATGTGTTGTATGACGGAAAACTTTAAACCCTTTCGGTGACTTTCTAATCCCAGGACTGGGGAGCAGCCCATGTCTCAGAGACCCGGTCCCGTGTAAGTCAAGTATAAGAAGCTGCCACCACCCGTCTTCCTACATCGACACCTTGCAAGACACACACACATTCTTTAAATAACAACAGCATACCCAACATCATGAAGCTTTCATTCTCTCTGGCTCTGTCTCTACTCCTCGGCACCACCCTCGGCGCCGCCATCTCTGCCCGACAAGGCGGCCTTTGCTGCTTCAACCTCCAAGACACCAGCAGCGGCAGGAACGTCCAGCAAGATGGCCGCACCCACGAGCTCTTCCTCTACGATCCCAACCTTGGAGACGGCTGGTACTGCATTACCCCAAATTCCGTGCTCTACGACCGCGGCAACAACGCCTGCATCCTGACCTCGCCACGCAACTCGTTTGAGTGCCTCGACGGCACGCCTGGCGGCGACACGTGGCAGCTCGCCGGTGGCAATCTGCTCCAAGACTACGGCAGCGTCGACTTCAATGTTTGCAACGTCAACGGTCGCCAACAAATCTTTGGAGCTAGCCCCCCTGGTGGTTACAGCTGCCGCAAGACACAGCTCCGTACAGTCAACCGCACCAGTCAGTGCCAGTGAAAGACGCATTCTAATGCATGTTACATACTTGGCCAAAACATTTATATACCGATACTTATATACGATCAATTCATACAAATTCTCTGCTCTCTTTCCGCTTCCCTTTTGGTTTTATAGCTTCGCCGGCGCAGCTCCCACGTCATCAGTTCCGTAGACGATGAGTGTATCCTTGCGCAGCTCAGCCACAGTATCTTGCCTCTGTCGCTTCTCAACACTATTATATTTCTGCTCGACAAAGCGCACAAATATCTCCTGAGCCGCAGCGTTTCCATCAGACATGGCGTCAACATACAATAGTAGTGACACAAGGATATCGCCCAGCGCCCAGACTAGGTCTCTGGCTTCGCCCATCAGATCTGCCTGAGCCGTATTCACAATCTTGGCGCGGAGCTCCTTCCACTCCTGTACAGCATCCCATCCCTTAAGAGTCACTTCCGAGAATGCGGCAGCTTTCCCAACAACATCGTCAAGCGCCGCGATGCATTCCTGGCCCGCCTTGGGGTGCTTCAGCGCTCGGATCGTATCCGTACTGAGCACGTCCGTTGTGCCCTCCCAGATTGGCAGCACAGACACGTCGCGGAAAATTCTCGACACGTTGAGGTACTCTTGCTCTTCGTTGTCCATGTAACCGACGCCGCCTAACGCCTCCATGCACGAAAAGACGAGCGCGACCGACGGCTTGCAGACGTACGCCTTGGTGATTTGACTCAGGACCCGGATCAGAGGCAGCGCCAGCTTGGCCTCTGGCGTCAGCGCCTTCAGCGCCGGTGTAACATCGCCATACTCGTGGGTCGGATATTCGGACACGCCGAGAACATACGCCGAATACAAGCTCAGCATCATAAGGCCGCGGTACTCACCCGTCATCCGGGCGAGCGTGCGCATGTGCAGCCGGCTGTGGATCAGACGCATGCGCGCGCGGTTCCCCGCCCCAACCTCGCGCACGCGGGCATACGCCCGGGCAATGGCCAGGGCGCGCCCGACGTACGCTACGGCTGACACGGCCGAGTAGACGCGGGTAATGGTCAGCACGTTGCTGATCTCGTGGATGCCCTTGCCCTCGTCCCCGATGAGCCACCCGCGCATGCCCTCGAGCACCAGCTCGGCGGTCGGCAGGGACTGCGTGCCAAACTTGTGCTTGAGGCGAGAGATGCGAACGCCGTTGAGCCGCTCGCCGTTGGGGTTGGGGTGGCCGGCCATGGTCGTGGCATGGGGGTCGTGGCGGCGCATCGGTGCGATGAAGGCGGACAAGCCGCCGCTGGCAGACGTGCGCGCCAACAGGACCGTCATCTTGGAGTCGGTGGCCGAGGAGAACCACTTGAAGCCGCTAAGGCTCCAGGGACCGAGCGGGATCTCGTCCTGCTGAGAGGCGAGGCCAAACTCGACGTTCGCGGGCCGCGTGGCCACCGTCTCCGTCAAAGACACATCGCTTCCGCCGATGCGCTCCGTCATCCACTGCCCGGAGGTCCAGGCCACGCTTGGATCGCGCGATGTCAGCCGGCGGTAGGCGTCCTCGTACACCCGGCGCTCATCCGGTGTTAGCTTCGCCGACAAATACGGCGTGGTTAGGTGGCGGCGCAACAGGCACGCCGCGCCGTCTTGCATGGCCGACGGGCAGGTGACAACGGCAGAGGACGGCTGCCAGATATGCAGGCGTAGAAACTGGAGCGGCCGCGAGAAGGGCCCATATGGCGTGTCGTATCCCGTCGCGACAATGCTGGGACATGTTAGCGGTTCTCTGTCGCGCCATTGTAGAGTGCTGCGCTTCGTACCCTTTGGATATGCCCATACTTTGCAGCTCCCTCCATCCTTCTCCAGTCACCAGTTCACCAGTATGATGACCAAAGGACGATCGCCCGGAGCCTTTGAGGTACGGCAGGTTGCGGTACGCATCCGAGACCCAGGTAAAGACTTGGTCAGACAGGACATCTTGGCCCAGCTCCGCGACTTCATCCTGCGTTTGAGAAGCTACACTTTTCGAAAGAAATACTGGAAAATTTAATGAATGTCAGCCAGTGTGTCTGTCCCACCACTGTCCCACTGTGAGACCGACGAGATACGCACGCTTGAAGCATCGCTTGTAAGAATCATCGTCGTGGACCTGGTTCGGCAGCGTCGGCGGTGTCTGGAAGAAGCCCTTGTCGGCTCCAGAAGGCTCCATAGCGACGGTTTTCAATGAACAGAAAGTACGCTTCTGTCGAGGGTGCTAGACAAGTGCTCGCGTGTGAGAGTCTTCATGTGCATTGTACGCGGACCATGGCGCTGGAATGACGGGGGCGGAGCTGGCCATTTTTTAGTATTGGAATCAAGGTGTATTCGAATATAATAAAAAGAAAATAATATACTTTAATTTTGATCTTTTTATCTTTATTAGTATTCTTATTATATATAGTATTTATATTTTTAATATTAATATTCTAATAGCTAAGTAGTATAGTAGTTAGTTATACTTCTTAGTGAGTTTTATACCCTCTTATAGTTGCCTTAACCTACTCTTTTTATCTTAGCCTCTTTTAACCCTAGTCTTACTCTTCTTATAAGTTATTTATAAGCTTAAAGTACTATATTTAACTTTAGAAGGAAAAGGAAAGGAAAAGGGAAGTAAAGAAAAAATAAAGAGAAAAGGTACCTTTAGCTAGATTTAAACTAACGCCTATATACTAACATATGTAGCACTCTAATATAGAACTACTATTCTATAGATATTCTTCTTAGTTAGAATATATAGAATATTAAGTTATCTTTCCTCTAACTATTCTAGCTATAATTAACCTATATATACGTGTAATACCTCTATATATTATAAGCATAGATAATACTACAACGTAATATATGTATCTAACTTCGTCTTCGTGTATCTCTAGGGTATTTAGCCTGGTTCACCGCGTACTAGTCTTGCCGCGTACGCAGAATCGCCTACGAGAATTTCTGCGTGCGACAGCTCGTTCGTGTACGAGATTTCCCTCGTACGCATACTCGCTTACGAGACTTCTGGTTATCAGACCCACCGCGTACGCAGAGTTGCGGCCCTTGTATACCTTACTGCATAACGGAACATGGCTTTGATATCTTATTTGACTACATATGTACAAAGTACAGAACATTGCAAATGCTTACTGTACATTTAATTTGACATGACAACACTTTAATCATCTGCGTCTAAGCCCCGGAAAGGTAATGTGTATACCATATCGCTATCCCCCCAATACTTTCTGGTCCTTCTGGGCTTCCTGAAGAATTTCCCTCATCCGAGGATACAAGGATTCATCATCTTTTTCCCATCTCCCACCATTCGGAAACACCGCTTTCCGTAACCTGTTAATCCAAGGTATTAATGGCCGGTAATATACAGTGAAATTCTCCTCTGCAGCCGTGATAAAGTCCCCTTCATGAGATACTTGCCCTTTTTTTAGCTTTGCTAGCTCCCCCGTTCCAACAGAGTTCCACTCATCGAATTCTCGGACGACCCTACTCTCATCCGGACCGTTGTAGTGGATGCATACCCAGAACAATACCCAGAAGAATGACTCTAGATCGTGCATGAAAGAATGTTGCTCGCCTAGAAGTGCACCAATAGCCATGAATGCTCTCGTGCCGGTCTTTCCCTTTGCTCCTGAAGCACCTTCTCGCTGCACTTTGATAGCAAGGTCCAGATCGATTAGAAATGAGGGCCAGGAGGGATTGTCATTGTCCTCGTTAATCATGAGATTGTTGATTGAGATATCTCTGTGCAAGAAGCCTGCCTTGTGTAAGGACTCGTGTCCCTTGATACAGCCCTCAAGAGCAGCAAGCAGAGCCGACCGGGAGCTCGCCTTGTATATCGGCCTTCCATAGTCTTTCAAAATGACACGTCGATGTACCCTATTTGGTAGGGTACTGGCAGACTTGGTTGGAGACATGGAGCAGGATCGCTTGCTGGGAGGGTAAGAAGCGCCGGTTTGGCTAGATGACCGCTTCCGGCTGCTGTAGCGGCCATTCCGCGACGTGCCAGCAGGGTTGTTGTTCGACCGAGTCGGACGTTCACGCCTGTAGTTTGACGCTCTTGTGATGTCCAGTCCTCTTCGAATATTGCCCCGAATCTCGTCATCCATCCCGTGAACCGTAACTGTCTCGTGGTGGTAGTACCGGGCCACGTTAACAACGCCTTTGCCAGTCGCTTCTTGTAACATTTCTCCTTCTTCATCGCGTTCTGAAAACTGCCACGAATCCTTGATAACAAGTGGCATCTCTGGCCTCCCTTCTCGATGGGCTTTCCAGCAAGTCGTCGCCCGGCCAGCTATACAACGTGCGCGCTGCATCACCCCGTCGATAATGATTCGCTCGGTTGAACCGTTTCGGATGATTTCAATAAAGCGCTCCTTATTTGCTGTTATAACGGTCGGATCGAACCCCAGCTGCTCCTCGTTCATCCAGAGAAACCCGAGGATTGTGCACACAAATCGCAGTCCATCTTCGTTAATGTCGAACTGCTCGGATGCGACGGCCCCAAGCCGGTCAAACGTCCATACCCTCATAAGAGATCCGCAAATAGAAAAGCCTAGTACGAAGTGACGAGTGTCCTGAGCAGCAAGCACTTCCCTTGCGTACCTCCCAAGATCAAGCCATGCTTCTGAGGCTTTATCAGCGGCACGGTTGCTCTTGAGCTCTCCTGGTACGAGGACCTGGGACCAATGGCATCTGGATTCCTTCCCTGCCTCAGGATCGTTCACAAAACCAACGTCCATCTTCCGTTTCCCTATAGAACCATCGATCGTCTTGTTCGGTTTCGCTAATGGTCTTCGCTGACGTGTCGGTACTGAGGTCTTGCCCTCTGCAAATTTTGCCAGCTTCTCGCTAAAGTCTGCAAACCAGCTCAGCACATCCTCTTGCTTCGCATCTTCTGGCCATCCCGTCCAGCCGTTGTCAAAGAGTGGCTCGCCGCCTTCCTGGCACATCTCGAAGAATGCCTCGGATGTCATCTCAAGATCGGTCACTCGCCCAAAGTATGTGTTGTAGAAGCTGCGGAGCCCAACATACATTGGGCCAAGCTCCTCCTTAAGCACCCCATCCACATATTTGCGAGGTTCGGACGAGTTCGCGAAGCTGCTGGTGTTGAGTCGCCATGGGGTTTGTTGTATAGAGGAGGCTACCGGTCGGGGAGGTGGAGTTGATTCGGTGACGGCGTTGTAAACTTGATTCCAGATACTTGTGTCGTCGGGTTTATCGGCGAGAGCTACTCTCAGGAGAGGTTGAATGCAATCGAGGTCGAAGTCGTCAGAGTCGAGGGAGAGTTCCAGCCGCAAAAGATCGCTGCGGAGTGTGCCACGACCTGTTCCAGCGGGAAGCAGACGGGCTGCAGGAAAATTTTGCGCCACAGAAAGAAAAGCAAGCACAAGTTTCCGGAGACCTATATTATAGTCAGAAAGGCATACAGCGATGATAAGTTGGTTGGCTTACCTTCTTGACCAAGAAGCTGAAGCGCGTCTGGTGTGAAGGAGACGCTCCGGCCTTCGCATATCTCCTTGAAAGAAGCGTGGAAGTCATCAAGACCATTACCGATAGGATTGTCCTTGATAAAATCCAAGCTCCTTTGGTCCATCATGGCTATTGTCTCGTCATTGCCGCACTTGTGTCTCGCGATTTTGATGCTAAGTCAGATTAACAAAGGTGTTGTGATTTGAGTCGAGATCACAGTATACATACCTACGCGAGTGGGGGGGGGGTGTTTTCTGACAGGGCACTAGACACGTTTTCCACTTAACATGTAATTTTCCCCTATCACAACGCTGTTAGGCGTCTAACATAGCTTCTAAAAAAATATATAAGATTTTAATAGGTAGTAGTAGCCTAATAGCATTATAATAGGGGGAAAAAACATATTAAAAAAGAGACCTATCTAGTACCCTAGCGCTTAGATAGCAGCACCTAGTACGGAGTATATATACGTATAGGGCCTATCTATGTATATAACTAGTAGTTAGGCAGCTTATGGGGATAGCTTAGAACAATCTATCGTTATCTCGCATATATCTATAACACAAGCTATGTGTGGCAACTTAGTTATAGGGGCAAACAGCGCAGATAAGAGCCTAAAATACACTGCGCAAAGAGAGGTGCAGGTCGATTTGGTTTAAAGTGTAGGGAAGACAAGACCGTATTTGCGATGGGGACGATATATTATCTGATAACTATTTTCCTTCTTATCATGTATGTTGTTTCCTGTTTTGCGGTACTGTTCCGCGGGGGTTAGTATTCTATCAGCCTACCCTAAAACACCACTATACTTATCATAATAAACCGTTCCTTCCGGCAATATCTAGAAGTTGAGAAGACGGCTTGTATACTATGTGGCTAACTGTATGGCCTTCTTCATATCGCGTTAATTTCAATACTTTGCCACTATGTATATAGGCTTGTCTGATTTGCCAGTGTCATCATTTCATGCATATATCTTTATACAAACCGCGGATGGGTGCATCCTGGCTCACAACCGTGCAAGTAGTACACATAAATCCTCGCCAATAAAGTGACCAATCCTTAATTGAACTCTATAACCTCGGGAAATTTAGAGCTTGAGTTTCTAGAGTAAAGTTGGAATTCGCTTGGATGCTGAGCTGCACAGGAAAGGCCATAGCCAATCAGCGCCTTGACTACATGAATTTTGGTGGAACGACTTGTCGCGAGCTACATAATACGTATTAAGCGCAAGCAAACTCAACAATCAGACTCCGGCCACAGTCGTCTAGGGGTCAGGACACTAGTTTGTGGAGTTTACAACACCGCGAACCACTGGAAACCGAGGTTCGAGTCCTCGCTGCGGCACTCGTCTTTATTCCAGCAAGATTACAATCTTGCCATTGTTCATTATCTTTTGGCCACAGTCGTCTAGGGGTCAGGACACTAGTTTGTGGAGGATATTTTCTACGCAAACCACTGGAAACCGAGGTTCGAGTCCTCGCTGCGGCATTCTTTTTGCTATTTCATGCCGTGTTTGGTTTTATTCTAGTCTCTCTTTCATCTTTTACTATGTGTGATATGAGCTAGCGATGTGAGTTGTGGTCGCATGGATATAAGAGTAATGTAGAGTGATACTATCTATTTATTATATTGTCGACTATCTTTGCTGTTCTGTTCTGCCCCAAATTTTGCACCGTGCAACTGTGCATCCCTTGACCACACCAGATCGAAGCCACGCAAGGTGTTACGTCTGTCTGTCCGCGTCATTCAAGTCACAACGGGCACTACGCGATGGATCATTCAGCCCGTCGCAAGGCTGCCTCTTAGACGAACTCCACCCATCCAGATACCACTTGTATCTAGACACGGTTGCCTGCTCCGTACTAGTTTGCAGAACTCGCCACCTTTTCTGTTCTTCATCGCTCAACCTGCTGATTCTGATCGTGACCGACTGCCAGGAAAGAAATGGACAGCTTCTCCATCGCCGCACTCGTATCCTCAACATCGTCCGTCTCACAGCGGGCCGTCTTCGGCGCGGGCGAGATCCGTAGCCTGCAACGCACCACTGCTACGGCCAGCCAAGGCCAGCCGCCGCTGCGCGATCTCGCAAACCTCGCAGATCTCCTCGAAAAGGCCGGTCGCGATGCCGAAGCGCTCGGCCGCGCCCTGGGCGCCTCGTCGGCTGTCGCGGAGCGCCTGCGGGAGAAGCTCCGGGACGCGCTGGCAGCAGGCGAGACGATGATGGCCGGACTCGGCAAGCAGCTGATGCGTCTGGAGGCGAGCAGCCTGGCCAGCGTGTACGTGAGCTACGTCCACAGACAGCAGCGCGTGGTGCTGGCATACAGCGACCTGTTTCAGTATTATGCGCAGATTGTAGCGTTGTAGGTGACCCTTGCCGTCTTTGGCCGTTCCGGCCTGCGAGTATCCGCGCTCTAACATCTGTGCCTACAGACCAAGCAAAGAGCACCAAGACCAGCGCCTAGATACCAAAGACTGGCATCATCTGACCGAGGCGGCGACGCAAGCCGCCCACGAAGCTACGCAGCCCCCAAACACCATCATGACCATCCGCGCATCCGGGCCCGACGACACCACGCCACCCATCTACACGGCACCTGCGTCGCAGCCCGACAGCCCCTCTCCCGAGCAAGACCGCGGGGGGTTCGGCTCCTTTGTCTCGTCCCTCAAGGCCATGGTGTCGTCGGTGCTGCCCAAGCCGGACCCGCTCGTGTGCGCGCTCTGCGAGGCGTGCGCGCGCGGCGACACGCGGCTCGTGCAGGGCCTCCTGGACCAGGGCGCCAACGTGGACGGGCGCAACAAGAACCGCGATACGCCGATGAACGTGGCCATCCAGGCCAACCAGATCGACGCCGCGGCGCTGCTGGCCGCTGCCGGCGCGGACGTCGAGGGCGCCCACGG